GTTTTGTTTTTTTGAATGTCCAGAGGACCAGATTTAACTTTTTTAGACAATGAAATAACAGTTCCTGTCCCATGAAGGTCCTCAGAGGCAGGTTTTGGTCGGAGGCCGAGTTCACTACACACCGGAGGACATTGACTGATTACAGTGACCTCGAGAGCATCTGTAAGCGTTGTTGACCGCTCTCGTCTCTTCCTTCTTCCTGCTCGCAGAATGTCTACGTAAATATGTGCTTGTTTGTGCGAGGTGTTTTTTCATTATTAGGGGTTTTTCTCAGCCAAGAAAAAAGTCTGATAGGAATTTTCTATTTTTCTTACTAGTTCTGCTGCTGATACAAGTACTGTTTCTGACACAAATACTGTTGCTGATACTAGTACTGTTGCTGATACTAGTACTGTTTCGGATACTAGTCCTACTCCCGATACTTGTACTGTTTCTGGTACAAGTACTGCTGTTTATACAAGTACTGTTGCTTATACAAGTATTGTTTCTGATTTTCTGATACTAGTTCTGTTTCTGAAAAAAAGTACTGTTGCTAATACTTGCTAATTCTGTTGATTCTACTACCACCATTGATACTAGTACTGCTGCTGATAGTGTCATTGCTGATCCGTTGCAAGTTAAGGCTATTTTTAAAGGTTCTACAGTAAAACGTAGGTTTTAATCTATCATTCTGATCCATGTTCTTGTGACGGATGGGACCATGTGCTTGTAGCGAGATTCCTTTAACTGTCCATAGAACCAGGTATTCCTCAGTTAGAGACTCTGCTGGAACTTCTTCACACAAAGCTTTGTCTCCTAACATCCATCCTTTGTCTTCTTGTTTCTTGTGGCCTCACAGTGTGGAGGAGGTGAATGACTCCCAGCTGGTGTGTGAGACCAGTTCCAGTAATCAGACTCATTCTGTTCCTGTTCGGGTTTACTTTGGTAAAGCTGAGCGGACCCTTCCTAACGTCACCTTTCGTTACCTTGACGACCCTGTCATCACAGACGCCACACCTGCAGAGAGTTTTTACGCGTGAGGAATCAATAATTGATTAAAAATAATCTCATATGTCCACACGACCTGATCAGGCATCGATTTTCTGTTTCAGAGGCGGCCGTGTCGTCATGGTAACCGGAAGAAACCTGGATGTGGTGCAGCAACCAATGATCTCCGTGAGGGTGGAACCTCTGGAGGTTCAGAGGGTAAAACGAAGACGACGATTGGCTCTGCTGACCACTAAGCAACAACTGGTGTTCAACCCCATCCTGATGATGGTGAGACCTTCTGACCAATAAAAACCACCGTCATAAGTTCTCACCTGTCTGATCACCGATCTGTTTCTCAGGTATCCGAGCGCTGTTCTGTCCTCTCGTCTTCTCAGATGACGTGTTCAACCCCTGCAGTGTCCCCAGAGCTCAAAGTTAATGACGTTTGGTTTCAGCTGGACAATGTTAAAGTTCTCTATGAGAGCATCAAGGTACCTGCTGGGTTTTCTGGATTCTTCCATTCAGATTTATTCTCACAAATTCTGTTGCCTTCTGTTGGAGAAATTCTCTCAATCTCTGACGTTTACTCAGAAGAACCACTTTCAAAATAGGTGACAATTTTTAACCGGTATTTTACTTGCAAGGTCAGATTTCCTGACAGGTTACATAACTATACATAGATGTATACACATGAAGACCAGTCACAGAAAAAATCCACTAGCTGCGTTATATGCTCGCTTTTATAGCCTTATCAGCTCAGCAGAGTTCAACATAGTCCAGAGGGTGTCCAGGAAGACAGTCTACTTACACAGCACTCTTTGTTTACACAAACACATGGTTCATGGGCGAAGATAAGGTAATGTTTAGGGTGACGATTCGGCTATTTTGGGCTTCTTGTATAACGTTTTTTAATCAAAGTGTTTTTATTGATTTTTTTT